CGAAGTTTCTGATGTCGGTAACGCCATCTTAGATGGTGCTGATTGTGTTATGTTGTCTGGTGAAACTGCCAAGGGTAACTACCCATTCGAAGCTGTCTCCATGATGCACAACACCGCTATCATTGCTGAAAAGGCTATCGCTTACCAACCTTTACACAACGAAATCAGATCCTTAGCCAAGAGACCAACACCTACCACCGAAACATGTGCCATGGCTTCCGTCTCAGCTGCCTACGAACAAGATGCTAAGGCCATTGTTGTTTTGTCCACCTCTGGTTTCACCTCCAGATTGGTTTCCAAATACAAGCCAAATGTCCCAGTTATGATGGTTACAAGAAACCACAGAGCTGCCAGATATTGTCACTTGTACAGAGGTGTCTACCCATTTGTCTACGAAAAGAAGACTGTTGACAACTGGCAAGAAGATGTCGAAAACAGATTAAGATGGGCTGTTTCTGAAGCTATTGATTTAGGTATCATCAAGAAGGGTGACTCCATCGTTACTATTCAAGGTTGGACCAGAGGTTCTGGTCACTCTAACACTGTTAGGGTTGTCCAAGCTTAATTGTCACCCGTATAGAACCATATATACTATATGTAATTTATCTATCTTCCCTAATATAACGTCTCCAGTAAGAAAAGTTTTCTAGTGTGTGCGAATCATTTTTTTGATATCTAAAACCTTCTAAACGAATCAAAATATATGTATGTAGCAATTGCACAAGCTTCTATTGAATAATAACTTTGATAAAATGAGCTTAAGGCTAGTATCTAAATCGTTTGGTCGGTTAGAGAAACCTTTGATTGGGTATGCTAATTCAGGAGTATCTATTAGACGTTATTCTGATAATAGTCAAGACTCAACTACGCACTTTGGATATAAAACCGTGAATAAAGATGATAAAGAAAAATTAGTTAAAGGAGTCTTTTCTTCTGTTGCTTCAAATTATGATGTTATGAATGATGTTATGTCCCTTGGTATCCATAGGGTATGGAAGAGCCATTTTATTAACAGGTTAGATGCTGGTATGAGACCCGGTGCAAGTCGTCCATTGGACTTTCTCGATGTTGCTGGTGGTACTGGAGACATTGCGTTTGGTTTGTTAGAGCACGCAGAAAAGAAATATAACGACAGGTTGTCAACTATGACGGTGGCTGATATTAACCCTGATATGTTAGCCGAGGGAGAAATGAGATTCCAAGAACTGAAGTGGAACGACGGTTCGGACAGAGTTAACTTTTTGGTTCAAAACGGTGAAACTATGGATGCTATTGAGGATAACTCTAAAGATGTTTACACAATTGCATTTGGTATTAGAAATTTTACTGATATTCAGGCGGGTCTTAACACTGCTTACAGAGTATTGAGACCAGGTGGTATATTCGCATGTCTTGAATTCTCCCAGGTTGACAACCCTATTCTCGACTATGCTTACCAAGCATATTCTTTTTCATTGTTGCCATTGATGGGTCAATTAGTTGCCAATGATAGAGAATCCTATCAGTACTTGGTTGAAAGTATCAGGAGATTTCCAAAGCAAGAAGAATTCAAAGATATGATTGAAAAGGCGGGCTTTTATATTCCTGAAAGAGGTTATGAAAATTTGACATTTGGTGTTGCGTCAATCCATATTGGTGTCAAGCTATAGACTAAGAGAACTAGACTTGCTTTTAATAAGACTCATCTTAATGCTGTGATAAAAAGTATATCTTTCTATTGTAAATATTATATTAGCAAATTGCCTAATCTAAATAAACATATTGTAATACTTTAATAATATCTTCGGTTACATTTAATCCTTTGATGAACTTTTCGTTTTTGTCAATCAGCTCATTATCATCATCCATATTAACATCCTCTTCATCGTCAGGTTTAATGTTCGACATAACACCATTCAGTATTTTAAATTTCACTTCAAAGTCAATAAGTTTGTCTTTTGAGTTTACTAATAACCCATCTATTGATATTAATAAGTCATAAGTAGGAGAACAATAATCAATATCGTCTAACGAAAACAGAATGTACAGATCCTCAATAGATGCCGGGGACTTTTCTACTTCAGATAATCCATCTTTCATAAAAGAATTCAAGTCAACAGTATTTGGTTTATTTATTTGTGCTGTTGAAAATGCACTATTATCAGAAACAGCGCTTAATCCCATCAATTCTTCGTCCGTTACATCATCGGGTAATTTAAGAGATGCTTTTAATCTATTCTTAGTCTCTGTAGACATTTCGCCAGCCTTGGTCGAGACTCCATCAATTCCAACAAAGATGGACGGGTTACATGCTGTTTCCTTTATCAAAGTACGAAGTAAATTGGCAAGAACAATGTAATTACGGAATAATGGAATCAACTGGGTTAAATTCGTTAACGAATTGAGGGATATTGAAGTAAGCGGAATATATTCTTGTGAAATTTGTTGTGTTATATGCAATTTTGAAGGGGAATCTTTATTGATACCCGAGTTATAATTGTATTCATTACTTTCGTTCAACTTATCGAATAGTTCGGATTCGACTATTTTCTCATTACTCTTTTCATAATCAGTTATTCCAAGAAATTCAAGGACCTGTAAATGTACAAAAACTGGATGATTTAGGTCCAATGAAAGTACCCAGTTTGAATTATTTTTGTTCGAGCTTTTAATTGACGATGTTGCTGTTGACGGTGGTTTTGGTTGTGAGTCATCATTGAACGCAAATTTGTAACTTTCTATTACTCCATCTCTACCCATTAATTTCCAAACACTTTCTTTGTTTTGAATTAGGTAGTCCTTTTGGGTTGAATCGGAAGCTTTAATATTTAAGAAACCTTTGTAACTATTTCCAATGAGGAGTCTACTCGAATCCGATGTTGCATACTCGTGGTTTATATATCTAAAATCGTTCCAAAAATCAATAAAAACACCCAATTGTGAACTGATCGGATCGTTTGTCGATATTTTACCAACGCTGGTATAAAGCCCCTCGGTATATAACCAATCTTCGTTGTGTTTAGTTTCAAGCAAGTATGCAGTTTGCAATATCAACGCAGTTTTATCTAAATACAAAAATAAATCTTCATCAGTAGATGACAATCTATCCAAGGTAGCTAGAAATTCCAAATTGAATGGGAATCTCCCTAACTTCTCTGCCTGTAGACTCGAGAGTAAAATGTCATCAGCAGATGGTTCTGCTTCCTGGTTTCCTTTCGTTAAAAACGTCAACCTATTTTCCGGGGAGTCAATGTCTACCAACGTGTTCCCTTGTTCGTCTTTCTCCCCTACCCTCAAATGCCTCTTTAAATCAAAGTTGGGTATATTCCCGTTCGTTTCATCAATATGGTTTGCCAAAGACAATGACACCTTTATAATCTTGTTTATTTCAGTGAAATCGATATCGATTAAGATAAACGACCCAGCTATTGATAACCGTTGGAACTTAATTCTATCAGAACTCTTAGTGGGTTCAAAAATATGTGAATAAGCATCTTTATCAACAAAAGTATCCAACTTCAAATGTTGAGCCAATTTTTGAATTAATTCAATATTAATACCAAAATTCGAGGAGTAATCATATAACTTAACCAAGCAATCATCTAAACTATCATTGAAACTAGACATTGAATATAGCACTCTCTAAAAGTCATCGTATTGGAAGTATATCAAGGGCATTCGCTTGTCTACGCTTTAAACATATTTTACCACGTGATGATCTTGTATGATTTTTTTTATGAATCAGAGGACTTGAAGACTAGACGTAAAGATTCATCATTCAAGACAGTAAGACTCTGCAATTTGTATATTATAATGACAAACTCAGTAACTCCAGAAATATTGTCTTTAATAGACCCCGTGGTTTCTCAGTTAAAGCGCCATCAATTCAATGGTGCTAAAGATATTGCATTGGCTATTTCACATTTGTTAATGAGAGTTATATCGGCCGCGAGATGGACTAATCCGTACGATTTAATTTCGGTTATTAGAAAGGTTGGTGTTGTACTTATTAAAGCTCAACCAAGGGAGCTTATTACAGGTAACATTGTAAGAAGAGTATTAGCATTAATAAGAGACGAAATAGTAACGGAAGATGCAGAAAATTCGACGAATACACCAATGATGAATTCGATGTTTAGTTTATTATCCACTAACAACAATCACACTGATAATAAAGAGCAAATACAACTGAAAAAACAAAGCAGTGACTTAAGATCAATTATTATTCAAGGAATAAGAGACTTAATCGATGAAATTTCGAATATTAATGAAGGTATCGAAACAATGTCTGCTGATTTAATTCATGATAACGAAATTTTGTTGACACCTACTCCAACATCCGAGACAGTGTTACAATTTTTAATCAAGGCCAGAGCTAAGAGAAAGTTTACCGTTTTGGTTACTGAAAATTATCCAAATGATATTCAACAAGCCCACAAGTTCGTTAAGACGTTAGCAGACCATAAAATTGAAACCATATTAATACCCGATACGACGACTTTTGCTGTTATGTCTCGTGTTGGTAAAGTCATTGTTGGCTCAAACGCAGTGTTCGCTAATGGTGGCTGTATGTCAGCTTCGGGTGTCTCAAACGTAGTTGAATGTGCAAAAGAACATAAGACACCAGTATTTGCAGTGGCAGGCTTATATAAAATATCACCATTATATCCGTTCAACAGAGATGATTTAATTGAAGTTGGTAATTCTGGTAAAGTTTTGAATTATGACGATTTCAAACTAATCGATAATGTTGAGGTGGTTACTAATCCATTAGACGACTATGTGCCTCCAGAACATATTGACATTTATATAACTAATATTGGAGGTTTTTCTCCCTCATTCATTTATAGAATCGTGTTGGATAATTATGATTCTGAAGATAATAAACTCAATTAGCCGACTCAATAATTAATGTTTATAAAGTAACTTTATAGTGAACGCGTTATATTTTATAGACTATTATTCAATAATTATAGAGGATATTATTTGATACAATACACTTGATTTATGTAAGCATATGTCTAAACTATACTGAGGGCCCTTGTCACCTCATGATAGTCCAGATTTATCTCTAACTCTTTGATATCTGGAAGTTGGTCTACTGATCTGTAAGGGTCTTCAAGAACCAGTATCATATCCTCAATCAATCCTGCGAGTTCATCATTAAATAACGGAGCAGAGCATTCAGATCCTTCTTTAGAAATGTGTCTGGAAGGTTTAATTTCAGAAGATGGGAATTCAAGGCTAGAAATGCAAGAAAAATCAATGTCCTTATAACTATTTGTGTCATTTGTGGTGCTGATGATGCTCACAAGTTCATCACTTACTATGACTATTTCATTCGGCGAACGGTTTGGAATCCCCGGATTATTTCCATTTTTAACTCCATTTTCCATTGTATTTCTGAAGCTTTCGTAACATGTAACTAAACTTTCATTCGAAGAAATGCTTCTGTATTCGAGTGTATCATATGGGATACTTGAGAGTGATTTTTTTGGCTGTAAAGCCTGAAACTTCTCTAAATATTTACCTACTCTTGGCCAAATAAATTGCCTCACATTCGCCTCTAAATCAATCATGAGTTTCATGATATATGAAAGATGTAAATAAATATTTTACAGACATTCAAGAATAATTTTAAGATACATAGAACGAATTGCAAAAAAAAATCAAGTTTGCAGCAATTCCATATTTGTGGATTTTCAGGATTTTCTACAATTTTTGGTTAAATATGATTAATATATTAACCATATAGAATATATAAACGGCAAGTCATTATTCATTAAAAGGTTCGTTAATTTCAGTTATAGCTGGTGTAATAACTTTTTGTTCTTGGTCGTTATCATCTTCTATTCTGAAAATATTTTCATCTGCCTCAAGCTTTGGAATGGTCAACCTGAGACAATCATTTTCCATTGTAGTTTTTGTAGCTTCATGGTTCACAGGCTTACTTAATCTGATACGGTTTTCAGAAGAACTGGAGAATGTACTTTCTGAATTACCATCAGCTCCGTTGTATTTGTCGCATTTCTTTAACTTTGAAGAAACTACTAATTCATGTTCCTTGTTAAGATATTTGACATTTAATTCTTTATTTTTTATATCTTTATCTCTGTAGGATACCAAGTAGTTATTAGCATCTTCTTGAACATCAAGGTGGCTATTGTCATCAAAGAATCTGTTTGTATTCTCGAACAAATTCAATTGTCCACCAAAAAAATCATCGTCAATAAACAGTGTCAGCCTCGACTCATCTCTGTTTAGTTTGCTTCTTGTATCGCTTCTTGGTTGTAATGAATTAGAAACCATGCTTCTAGATTCTCTACTTCTTAATCTTCTCGATTTTGGTCCTGCCATATTCTTATCACGACTGAAAAATAAATCGTCAAAACTATTTTTGAATTTGTTGTTTAATGAAAGCATTTCTAGAATCGTCGTTATAAATTAACAGTAGATCCTAATACATACGAACGGCTCCGTCACATATATATATATATATTGCTATTAGATCACTTGATCATTGCTGCAAAGGAAATTTCGCGAAACCGTTGGAACACTGATATTGCCAGAGCTACGAATTATGACTACTCTAGAAACTTCTAGAAATCCTACTTGATCATTTATTTATCTATTATAATGCAAACCTGACATAATTCATGAAATAATCGCTAACCACGGATATAGGTTGCATCGATTTTAGCTAAGCTAGGGCCCAAATATAACTTTATTTTTCTTCTATAAGCTGTGGGGTTCTGGGTTTGAACTAAATTACCTTCGAAATAAACAGTATCCAATTCCGGTAACTTTCCTAGTTCTTTACCAATCTCTTCAAAGCTTGAGATTTTGTTATACGAACACCAAAAATCAGTTAATTTGGTTAAATGATTTAAGTTATCAAGAGTCGTAAGTCTATTGGAGGTCACATCCAATACTTGCAAGTTAGTGTTTTTATCCAAATTTTCAATTTTCGTGATCCCATTGTGAGATAAGTATAGTTCTTCCAAATTAACCAAGTTCTCTAGACCTTCGATTTTAGTAATCCTATTGGACTGTATTGAAAGGACTCTTAAATTTGTCAAATTATTCATGTTTTCTAATTTTTCGATCTTATTTTTACCAAGCCATAATTGTTGTAGATTGACTAGTTTATCAAGGGTTTCACTTATCACTTCGATTTTATTTCCACCCAATTCCAAATTCTTCAAATTTTGAAGAGTTTCCAAGCTCTTGATATCTTTGATCTTATTCTGTACAAAATACAAGTGCTCAAGCTTTGTCAATGACTCTAAATTCTTAATGTTCTTAATTTTGTTAAATGAAAGATCAAGATTAGTCAAGTTTGTAAGCTTGCTGATTTGACTGGATATGTGATTGATTCTATTGTCATAAAAATCCAATTCTTGCATTGTTTCTCCTGGTAAGACTTTCACTTCGACCATTGAAGTAATTAAGTTTTGTCTCAAGCATAAAGACTCTAACTTATGGAATCTCGACAAATTTAAGTCCTCCATCGACCCAATTTTCATATGAATTAAATCCAAATAATCAGTATCTGAATCATAACCTTTCGTCAAGTCTGCATCGGCATCAATGTGCTGGGGATGATCATCAGGTAATACAGTACCAGGGTATTCTACGGGTAATGGCTCGTTCTTGTCATTCTCTTCGTCTTCATCTCCCTCATCTTCAGTATGAGATAGTATATTTTCATCTTCGACTACTAATTCCGAATCTGCTACTGCATTATCATCCACGATGTTTGGATCACTCTCCTTCACGGTATTTGACATTTTGATTTCAATAATTGACTGTCCAAAGTTGATTAGAGTAAAGCTTACCTTATTGCTAAGCTAAAAAAAAAACCCTCGTGATCAAATCGCTTTATAGTGATTAGTAAACCATCCAATAAGAATACGATAGTTTGCCATTACAGAGGTATCAACCTACACTACAGTACTTCCAATACGTATTATGAACTCGATATTAACGGTCTAAACTATAGTGAAAAGCATTACAATTATACGTATTCACCACGGCAACTATTGAAATAAAACAATCAAGAAATAGTATATACAATGTTAAACATAATTGAAATATATTTCAAACAGTCATCTGTTCATCAAACCTCTTATAATTTCTGTTCTTCTTCATAGATGTAGTTGACAGCTTCACCAACAGTCTTGATGTCATCAGAAATTTTATCAGGGATTTCTAAGTCAAATTCTTCTTCCAAAGCAACTAAAGCTTCGACGGTATCTAACGAATCTAAACCTAAATCTTTTTGGAACGAAGCCTCTAACGAAAGCTTAGATTCTTGTAAAGCGGCAACAGTCTTTAAAGCGTCAAAAGCACGGGTGGTAACTTCCTCTTTTGTGATTGGTGCAACTGCGTAAAAACGAATTGGTTTAACGAAGTTGGAAGCTAATGGAGCTCTAGCAACTGGGGCACGGGCAGCACGGACAGCTAATCTAAACATCTTGTAATATTATATGTAGCAGTTAGTATAAATATAGGATTACTTATTTAATTACTCTACTCTTTGAGTTGAGATTCCTCCCGGAAGTTTGAAAATTTCCAATGATTATGTAATACACAATATACAATACCAATTACGTCTATAAGTAGTAATATAATGCTATGTACTAATTTCTTCTGACTATATTTCTCCAGTTGAGTGCTGTAAGTTTGCTCGATTGGCTAACTGCACTGATGGACGAGCCATTGGCGGCCGAACCATTGGCGGAGACATTTGAACGGCCCGATATACTCGATGAGGAACCATTGTTGGAACTAGCTTGTTTAAGAGGAGCTGCAAATCTACCAGATAACCCAGAACCGGTGGATATGGATGGCTTATCTCCTGTATTTTGAGAAGCAACTGGCGAGGTGTATTGTATGCTGCGATTGAAAGCAGACGAATAGTCGGTTGAAATGTTTAGACTCTCAATTTCCTGAGCAAAATTCTTCTTGTATAAATCGACTAACACTTCATGGGACGCTCTCATGTCGGGGGTGACTAGCTTCGCATGTAAATGTAAACATCTGTTCAAAATGGTGCTCAATTCGTTGAAGGCATCGCTTAATAATTTGCGCGATGCAAGATGCTTATCACCTCTGTATTCATTATCATAGATGAAATTACGATATTGCCCAACTCCACCATTGACAGGAGAATCAACCGTACCAGCAAGTAGTCTAGATAAATCTCCTAAAAATGTTGAATACTCTGCGTTTTCTTTAAACGCATTGGTAAGCAAATTTTCAGATTGTAGCAAATCATTGTTCTTACTTACGACTGTTCTAATAGCAGTATCCAAAGGTGACAATTTAACAACCACTTTGCTTTTAATGTCACTCCTATTCATTAAAGTTGGGAAAGAAAGGAAAGTCTCATACGTAGCTTCTTCGGTCCATAAATCAAAAACAGATGTTGCACCTGGCAATTTCCTCATCGATGTAAAAACTCTTAAATTCTTGTTCCTTGCATATTGTCTGGCACCAATGGACGCATTAAGAAGCTTATCAGAAATCTCGTTAACAGGTTCAACACTACAGACATACAAGTACCGACCCGTTTGGGTTCTCTCCTTTAATTTCTGTGCTTCCGCATCATCTGTAATGATTCTTGCTCCAGGATACAATTTCAACAATCTTTCATGCATCGACGTGATATGTTCAAATGGTAGGCCCTCATAGATTTGCATTTTCCCTCTAATATTTTTTGGAAAACCAGCCCCAATAAACGCAACTTTAAAGAATGATGGACTCAACTTATCCGAAGTCTCTAGATCTAAATATAACTTTGCAAGTTTGCCATGTACGTTAGCAAAACTTTTCAAGTCATATGTATGTAAATTATAAGAATCCAATAATTCATTATAAGTATCAGTAGCTCTTTCCAAGCTATTACCTCTAATATAGTTTTTGGCAATCATATTAAATAATGTTTCTTTCCTTTCGAATGATGATTGTTGAGGAAACTTAGGTTTTAAACTTGCGGGTAGAACTACTCCATGATCCCAAGTACATGTCGAAGCCAATAATTCTAAACTTAAAGCAGCTTGAATATAATCCTTTTTCTTAAGATTCTCCTCGTACATAGTATTAATGAACGAATCAAACAATTCAGGTTTATTAGCATTTTTCAAATAAGCTTTAATATTCAATAGATGGAATGATCTATCGTCGTTAAATTCAGGTCCAACAGGGACTGTATTATATTCATTCAAAGCACTTAGAAACCCGTCTAAAGTCTCGGTAAAAGTATAGACAACCCTGAAAGCTTCATCCTCACTATCTAGTCTGATTACCAGCTTTAATCCATCAATAAACTTTTGCTGTTCAATTAAACTTGGCTTATAACCATTCCTATAGTATATTTCTTTTAACCCGAGAAGACATGCCTTTTCAACATCAACAATTGAATCCTTTGCAATAAATTCGGATACCATAATCGACCATAATATTTTAACAGCTACTGCTTGACACTCTGAATCTTTCTGTAAAGCAAATAACATCAAGTCGCGAAGTATATCATATTCAGTATTTATGAATTTCAATTGGTAGCCTCCGAATCGTTTAATATTAAATCTTACGTAGTCATCTTGATTGGAATTCCAAGCCAAATTATCCCAGGACTCATCTAATATACGAGCAATTCGATCACGAATATTGCCTGTAATTTGATAACACGCCTTTTTTGGACCATCGGACAAGTATTCAATAGATACTGGTGTAACAACAGCCAACCTTAGTAAACATCTCAAATAATTACCCCAAAGAACTTTTTCGAAGTTCTCTTGGTTCTCAACCCCAGGGATATGATATGAGTGGAGCAAAGGCTTTATGAGCTCCAAAGAAACTAAGCAACCTTCAACAAAAAGAGAACTCAAGGATAACCATTTATTCTCAGGTATAAACCTACCTTGTCTTATAAGATTCACACCAGATATTAAACTGATCAAGTCTTTACTTCCAAATTCATTTACTAGATACTTGGAAGATTCAAAGAAATCCCCTTCAACTTCTGTATCGAGTACCTTTTTAAAACCAGCTTCTCCAGCAGATTCTTTGCCAATCTTTGCAATAAAGCAAAACACAACTGCCATTTCGACTAAAACTTCAACCAAAACTTCTTCACCCACCACCGGATCAACAGATATTTCCTTAAATGGATATTCTGTTGGGAATAATGGACTAAATGTTCTCTTCGGTTTAAAACTTTCATTACCTCTAGTGAACTTGTTGTACCTAAGAAAAACTCCTGATATTGCAGGTAAAAATTTACTCAAAGAATAACATAATGGAATTTCATCCAAATGGCCCTCCACAAAAACAGTCTTCCATATAAGCGAACAAACAGCATTCAATATACCACATGCGAGTCTTGAAGCTTCAACGTCTATTGGACCTTGCAAAATTTGCATTGCCCATTCAACTGCCTTGGAGATCAAAAGCTTACGTGAAGGAGCATCATTGATCAAAAATGTATTGAAAAGACGGTAAATTAATAATAATTTACTAAGAATAATTCTATGATCTTTCTCAGTAGCAACCGTTTGATTAGTGGAATATAGATCCTCATCAATTCCTAACCCTCTAATTCCAACCGAATCAAGATAGTTCACAAAGAATTTCAAAGTTTCAACACCGCCAATATGAAGATTACGAGAAAGTACATCATCAAGAATTTCCAAAATTATGACCTGACTAGTGACAAAGGTTTCCGAGTCAATAGAAAGGAAATATGAACCTGACATGGACATGCGAATCAAAGATTTGAAATATTGTCCTAGGTCTGTAACACCATCCATTGAAAGAACTGCAAATTTCATAAGAATAGGAGAGACTCTGCACAATGCTTTCGAGCTTGAATCCCATTTTTTTTCTGCTTGGGACAAAACAATAGATATACATTCTAAAATATAGGTTCCCACAGGCGGTAAACGAATTTGCTTTTCCATGAAGGTATCAAGCAAATATAAATAGCGGCTTTGTTTGCCAAAAATAATATCTAATAAATGTACAATTGCAATGAAAGTTGACCACTTCAACTCGTCAATAGAGGGAGACGATTCTTGCTTTGTTGAAGTTTCAACAATAGAAAACAAGTCCTTCAATAATTCCCTAAAATACTTCACCAATTGATTTAATTCTAATCCTTTAAAAGCAATCAATGAAGAATTTAATTGCAGAATACCTTCTTCCCCGTTTTCGAAAAATTTTTCATACTGAAATACGTTATCAATGACTATATCATAGTTGAAAGCTTTACCAACATAATCCGTAGATATTTTTACACTTGCTATAGTTGACCCTTGAATAACGCATTTAAGTTCAATAATGTGGTTCTTACTATCAATTCTAACTGGTTGATTTTTCGACTTATAGACAAGTTTCCCTTCAGCTGTTAATTTCCCGTTAGAGTATAAGGAAAAGAGAATAAATTGATCCTCAATTGTGTCGTCATGTTTTAACTCAACGCCATGGACTTTTATTATTTCCCCTATTGATTCATTTGGACAAACTGTTAAAAATTGCCATTTTTTCTGGAAGCTTTCGTTAGATGCTTTTGCAAACGAAATCAAACTATTACCTGGAGAACTGGCTTCAATTGTTAATAAATCTTCCGTGACATCGCCATCCAACAAAGTAACCTTTCCCATCCTCAAATAAAGACGTTCATATTTCTCTGTTAATGGATCGAAATAGACTGGGCTAATCCTAGGAATGGATTTTGGAGTATTATCATCAGCATCGAGAACAGTCTTAATTTGATGCTTAAAATCTTTTATTGAAACAGTTAAACTTTCAGTTCTTGGATTAATGGCAATACCAGTCTTTGATCCCTCAATTATTCTATCAACAACTTCACCAAAACCATTATTTACAATATTATCGAAGCGATAGTTTTTCGAGTCTTTATTCTGGTCCATGTAAGATCCAAAGAGTCTAATTTTAAATAAGTGCTCATCTGAAGATTTTGAAACATATTCTTCAGTGAAAAGTTTGGTAACGTCTGCAACACCTGCAGCAACGCCCTTCTTGATACTTTTCACTTGGGCGTCCTTTGTTCTATCTTTTGTACTTAATTCAATTTCTTCAGTGACCACTGCTACTAAATAGACATTACCCGAAGTAATTTCGTTCGATGGTATGTTCTTGAACAACGCAGCTTGCATTTCTTCAGAATTGATCAACGAGTCAGAAGCATCAACTTTTACTGCAAAAGTCTCAGTTAACCTTACACGATCATAACGAATGTAAAAATATACAACCATGCCTGAGAATCCAGTCGGTTGATGCTTCGATGACCCTTGGAGAGACTTGAAGTCTATTAGAAGGTGTGATGCCAGTTTGGGAACGAGTCTCTGATTGGGTTGAGGAGTAAGGGAATAACTAAGTTTATCGACGTGTGCATTGATAGGGAATTCAGGGGACAATGAACATAAAACTTGGTTTAATGCAATTCTTGGGGGTATAGCATTGGAATTCGACAACAAATTACCTGTTAATGCATCTCTTGCTAAGATTGCTTTATAACCTGATGAATCTGCTTTTTCATCATTCAGATCAAATAATTGGACGCCAAATCTTTCACTGTGCGACGCAAGCATCTTTGGAATCTTATTTAACAAAAGGATAGCAGTCGCTTTAGCTACTTGTGATTCACTTGAGCTTAGAACGTTCCCTAACAATTTAAGTCTAGTTTCACCCAAAGTGTAATAAATCTGGCATAATTTATGGAATAACCTAAATTCTCCAATTGAATATAAAGCAAATATATGCGATGTTAATAACTCAAGGGCGTATTTCATTTCTGCAATTAAATCATTATTCTCATCAAAAGTTGTAATGGGAAGGGGTGGAATACGCGTTCTGAAAGAATTCCCATTATCATCGGAGGTACCTTCTAATGCTTGCCTATGTGCCAATTCAAAATCTTGGATAGAAGGAATTGCACCTCCATTTTCAGAGTCTTTGACTTCATTCTCAACTGTGGACGATAATGGTACTTCCTCAACGATTTGGATATATTTCAATGGAAATACTACAACATCAATGTTTTGTCTTGGTATTTCATCAAGGTTAACAGATGTGATAGTGAAATCACTTGGAAATGGGTTGCTGATTGTATGTCCTCTTGCCCATCTACCGTTAAATGTTGTCTCAAAAATGTACACTTCGTCACCGGGATATAAATTTTTCAAATTATCATTATTTAAGTCAGGATGCTTTTCGAAAGGTAAGAAGGGTTTAACAACCTTTCCTCGTAAGAATACTTTCGTGGGTTCCCAATTCATCTTCACTTAGCTTCCTGGCGGTATAATATCTAATGAAAGCGTATTCAGTAACTTAATTGAATACTTCTAATGCACAACGTAGTAAATAAGGCTCGCATAAATATTGGATTTTTTTTTGCCAAAAATTTCATAATAAACCCAAATTGGGAATTTTTTGATTTAGTACCTTTTTTTTTTTTTCGCCCTTAATACGTAATACTGGATTAAAAAGATAACATAACCGTGTAAAATGAACACTATTTAGATGATCTCATGTAAAGTTCAAATACATTGGTGTGGTCATCTCTTATGTTGTTCTTGGGCTGTATAAGCTTTAGGATAGGTTAAACATGCAGCATATGTAGGTGGTCAGCAGAAGACTCAAGATAATGCAGCACATACATTAATGTCTTAAATATATAGTCTTAGAGATTCCCATAAAATAATTAAGTTTGAATTATGGGATACTCACTTCTTTATTCCTACATTACAAATAAAACTGTGGCTGGTGAGAATCAGTATTTGCATACATAATACTCAGTATAGTACATTAAAATTCTTCTATATTACAATTGAGCCACTAAGCCAAGAATGATATAATTCTTTGGGCCACTTCTTTAAAGCTTCTAAGATTGAAGTCTCTGCCGGCATCCCATACATACCTATCCATTTCACGTCTTCCTGAATCATAATCGAGAGTCTCTAAACTTGGGATTCTCGAACCTGTTACAAGTCTGTGGCCGACATAAAGTATGACGAACACCATTAGAGAACCATAGCTCGAGAAAAAGAACAAGGTATCCCATTCACCGTCTAAGAAGACCACATATCCCATAGCAAGTATAATTAAACCCGACCCTACCAAGCCGAGTATCGCACTGTAGGGTTGGAAGGGGGATTTATATGGATATGCTTTATCGTCTCTACTAATAATATCAGGTCTTAATTTTAGGCCATAATAAAACCTAATAAATGACAAGCACATTGCAAACCAAGCAATAATTCCTGATGACGAGATGATACTTGTTAGATCCTGAAAAACAATTGTAGCTTTCTCTGAGATACAAAGATAGGCAAATAATCCAAAACATGCCGAAAATAACACAGCATTATACGGGATTCCATAATTGTTACAATAGGTTAAAATCCTAGGTGCCTTCTTTTGTAGAGCTAGAGAATAAATTGTTCTCGAGCTAACGTATAATTGCGCATTACCACAACTGACAGCAAAAAACGTCAAAAGCGCATTTGACACTGAACTGAATTTACAAAGATTTGCACTTTGTAAAGCAACAATCCAAGGACTTTGAGATCCACTTCCGAATCCACCAAAAACTGTGGAGTCAGAATTACAATTAAAACCACCGACATATTTAATGGCGTATTCATTATTTTCGTGCTCATCTCCACTAATACTTGTGTTTCCCAGAAGATATCGTAATAATCTTGGATCACCCGCATAAATATTTAACGACACCAAAAAAATTGATAAACAATAAAGAATAATAATTCTCCAAAATACTCTTCTTGTAGCAGATGGCAAAGCCTTTCTTGGGTTTTTTGCTTCGCATGCGGCAATGCAAACAATTTCTGTACCACTATATGCATATGCGGTAACTAATAATGCTGTTAGGAGTGATAAGAATCTCCCTTTATCTCCACCGATTGCAAGACGTGAACTTGAAGATCCATTGTCTTTCAAGTTGAATGAAGGTCGGAATAACCCAAATATTATATTATGTTCAAAATCAGACTTCAGGTGTTGCCAATATTTAAATCCTATATTTTCGGAACCAAATCCGCCTGTATTTAGCACAATCATTATAACCATCATAATCAATACACATATTATTTTAATTAGACTTGAAATATATTCAATTTCCCCAAATATCCTGACATCCACCAAGTTACTAATCACTATCAGACTCAAAAATAATGTGACAAATCCAGCTATAGATCCTTCGTGATGAGTAATTTTCAAATTAGGGTAATAACTCAACATCATTACACTAGCAAGAATCTCCCCCGCCAACCCAAATGCAAAACTTGCAAAATACAACCAGCCTACAGCAAATCCAAATGAATCATCCACAAACCTTGAACTGAGACCAGATACACCATCAATAACCGAGACAAAGGTAACCATTTCGCAAAATGATACCATGGTAGCCAATACAATTAAACCACAGATTGTAAATGCCAATAGCGTTCCAAACCCTCCTGCTAGAACAAATGCCTTTCCACTATTCAAAAATAATCCAACTCCGAGTGTCCCACCAAAAGAAATCATTTGTAAATGCCTGATTTTCAATTTCCGTTGAAGATACTTGCTCTGCTTCTTATTAGAAGGAGGCATAGCATCATCCTCATCAAATAATGACTCCGTAGAACTTTCCTTTCTATTTTTTTTCTTATCTATACGATACCACGGTATTCTGCGTTTCTTTTTAGACTTGACCCATTTCAAATCATCACTTTTGTTATCATGATAAAAGTTCTCTGCTAAATCTCTTGACTTGACAATACTCAAAACATTATCTTTATGTTTCTCAATGACACCTTGGTGGATTACATCATTTATTTCTGTTTGCTTAATATATTTATTGTAATCATCCATCAGAGATAAATCAAAGACAGATGCATCCTCCTCGAAATTTCCTCGTTGCTTCTTTAAATTTTCATACGCCTTCAAGTATTGGAACCTATCGTCATTTTCTTGAGCTTCAGAAATCAGTATCTTACCAATAATTGAAGAGTCTAGAGAAATGTCCCTTTTGGATGATAGCGTACTCAATTCGATATCAGATGTAGTATCAAAATGCAGTTGGAATAGGTTTCTATCCAGTACAGATTCCACGGATCTGTTAAGGATTTTTTGTTTATTGAATATGTGTCTGAACTGTCGTACTGAGCTGTGTTCGCTTATGTCTACGCTTTCTTCATCTGAATGTATAGCAGGGTATTTCACATTCGAGCTGTTAATACTAGGAAATAAATCATTATTTTTAGACGAATTGTTAATACTCGGAAACAAATCATTATTATTACGCTCTGAATATGATGGCTCTAGATCAGACCCCTCGTGGGCCATTTTTTACTATTATCTTCGACTTGTATACTTGTGTTATGAGTAGTCATAAGCAGATAGTGAATGCTTGATTACTTTAGAGCGATATTACTTTCTTATAAATACTACTATATGCAGGAATTTACAATCCTCTAACACAACTTATAGACTACCAATCAAAATATGAACTATTCGATATACTGCTACAGCTCCACTGTCAACAATCTTTTAAATTACCATCATGTCCACACGATAGGTAACCTAAAAAATTGCGTCAGAAGCCAATATGGTGCAATAGCAACGACACTGTGTCCAAAGGTGTAAGCAAGCTTATCAATCCTTCGAACGAATAATCCAAAAATAAAGGTAACATTTTATAAAAGTCATCAATGATGACGTTTCAGTTGTTACACTGAAAAGAACAGATACTACACTTGATCTAAGCCAAAAGGCAAAGAGATTTGGCGTGCAGAAAAAGGGAGCATAGGGGAGTGGCCAGTATTTATATTATTCTCAAGGTCGGGTAACCTCTTCGCCAAATACGTCGTGTAGCTCACAAATATATATTTTTTACTATGGCCTTCTATGAATGAACCTTGTATCAGTTCGAAGATTCACTCTATTGTTCACGATTGTCCTATGGCATAATGTTTATATTTGTTTTTAGTAGCAGAACGGAAACCTTGGTTACTATGCACTTATTAGAAAATTTTTACGAGTGGAACCTTCTGGAATTTTCTGAAGATTACGGTGGAACAGATAGAAAATGTCAGAAATTAGATAACTTGTTAGTTGACCGAAATAGGAAATTACACCCCTCGCCGCACATCTCATCTTCTTTGCAAAATGCATTGGGGTCTGAAAAATTTTATCTATAAAAAAATTAGAATATACCTGTAGCATAAGATAAAGGAATAATTGAAATAGTAACATTAGAGTAAATAGTCTGCTGACATTGCAATAATTACAGTTGAAAGAAAAAAAAGTACAAGAAACATAAAAACTTAGCAAAAATGCCAGCCTACAGACCAAGTAATAGATATAATAGAAAAAACTACTTTACCCCTAAGCCCACGACAAATAAGGGAAAACAATATAGAAAGTACTATCATCAACAACCATCCAAGGTAGTTTATGTTGAGGAACCAGATAGCGAACTTGAGAGTGAACCAGAAAGTGAAGAGACTGATTACAGCGAAGTTGAAGATAGTGACATAGAGTCAGAAGTATACGAGTTCGACTTAAACGATAATCAACAACCGGAATTTGAACATTACGAAAGTAGTGATTATGATACTGAAGACTATAATGATATCATAGACTTGAATGACGAGTTAGAAAATGCTGCTATTGATAGATTAGACTCAAGAGGTAAAGTTTATGATTTAAACGATGAGTTAGTAAGATACTATGATGATTCTGAGTCTGATTCTGATTCTGATTCTGAATTAGATTCTGATTCCGAATTTGATTCCGAATTGGAAGCTGAATTAGCGTTGTACGAACCTGAAGAAATATTGGACATGATTGACTTGAATGACCAATTACAAGCTGAGGCCTTGAAGCAAATCACCGGTGGTGAATACGACGATGCATCCAATGAAAGTGTTTCTGAAAGTGTTTCTGATGATTCTGATATTGATTCCGATAGTGAAAGTGAAAGTGAAACTGATCTTGATATTGAATATTCATCTGACGAAGAAGACTTGACCGACCAATTACAACTCGAAAATGTCAGACAAGTATTTGCTGATGATTTAGTCAGTGAAGACGAAGTCTCAGTACCGTCTGAATCTGACTTAGATTCTGAAACCGAATACATAGAAATCGAATCCGATATGGACTCTGGCTCTGAAGATGAATCAAAATTTGACATATGCGATGCATGTGATGCTTTTTATGATGAGTCCTCTGATTCATCTGAGGATGAAGGTGTTACTATTTACAGACATAGATTTGACTTACCAGATAGCTACGGTAGTGACTACGAAATTGAATCAGACTATTCTGATGAAGAAATTCCAGAACAATTTTTGTTACGTGCTGATGACTCTGATGAAGAAATTGCTATAATTGATTTATCTGAAGATTTACAAAACAGTAAGGACTGTGAATTAGTGGACTTAGATGATCACACTTATAAATTAAACTTAAGGTTCCCATCAATAGTGAAAGACGAATTAAAAATAGATTTCATCAAAAATAAGAATGAATTAGTTATTAGTGGTAGATTCAATTTTGACGCTGATAGTGACGACGAAGGAATTGAAGAAGAGATTCAAGAAGAAATTCAAGAAATTGAAGGTGAAAAGAAAGAAGACAAGCAAGCTAACAAAGATGTCGCTGAAGTTCAAGCTTCATCATCATCGTCATCTGAATCTTCGTCATCATCATCTTCATCCTCATCGTCATCCTCAGATTCGGAATTGTCCGATTCGGAATCATCAAGTTCTTCTGAATCTGATGACTCTGGTTCTGATTCTGAATTTTCGAGCTCAGACTCCGACAATTCAGACTCTGAAGAAGTTCAAGAGGATACCGAATCTTTAATCCAAGATTTCGCTAACCACGAGATTAGATTTGAAAAGCATTTCCAATTTGACAAAGTTATAAAATTCAATGAAATTAAAGCTAAGTTTTTAAGAAATGATGAATTAGAATTAATAATTCCTAATGAAAATCAAGAGAACATACTTTCAATCAATGTTGAAAGTGAAGATGAAAGTGTTATTGATGAAAGTGTTAACCAAATCGAAGGTTCGAATGCTAGCGTGGAACTCGGTGTTGAAAGAGATGAACAATATGAAGATGCATCAATGGAACAATAATCGACTTTGTTTATTGGTATGGTAGTATATAGATTAGGATTATAAAATTAATATATAGGTGTTAAAAATCTACAAAAAAAAAAAAGTAATTATTAAATTGTGTAATTATTAAATTGTGTAGTCTGTAATTATACTAGGCGTACTTTAAATTGATTGCGAATATGCTTAACGAGTAGAAGTAAATAAAAATAGAATGTAATGCCTAAATTGAATTGAAACTCCAAATCTGCTGCCTAAGAGTTAATGCTAATCAGAAGATTCTACTTCTGTTTCAACATTAATACCTTCAGACTTTTTTTCCTTATCATGAACAAAGACTTCTTCAATGTCATTGTCGCTATTAAAAGAGCCATCACCTATTTGACTAACATCGTAATTATTTGCCTTAAGATAATTAATGAAATCATAGTCTTCTTGGTTGATTGCATTCTGCCCAACTGATGGACAGAAAAATAAGGCCAAAAAAGCTGAAAAGATACATAACGCTGATGAAACATAAAAAGGTGCCTGGTTACCTTTATCAGTTTCTTCACCACCAGCGTTCTTAATGATAATAGGGAAAACATAAGTACCAACAAAAGCACCTATTTTTCCCATTGCGGCAGCAATGCCATAATAGGTCCCACGTACGGAAGTTGCACTTGTTTTAGAAGCTACTGCCCCAATATTATCACCTGGACCTAATTCACCCAAGGTAGAAAATATACCATAAACAACAACAAACGCACCAATATGCTCTTTCAATTTTGGATAGCAGCCAGACATGATAAACCCAACGATACCTTGTAAAAATGTACCAAGAACAATACTAAATCTTGGACCAATGTAATCCGAGGACAATGCTCCTAAAAATGCGCCAGGAATGTAAAACAAGTTAAATACAACATTCCATCCAAAGGTCTGGTATAAATTTCCATCAGGAACAACATGCTGAAGAATAACTGATGAATAAATACCAAAGGAGTAGGCTGAGAAATCATAAATAAACCAGATTAAAGATACGACGCTCAATCTAAACCAGTAGAATTTCAATATCAATAGATAAGGAACCTTCTTGACCTTTTTCATACTCATTTTTTGAAATGATTCACTATCTTTCATCTTCAATCTCATGAAAAATAAAGAAATGGGTGGAATGGCACCTATACCTAAAGTCAATCTCCATACTGGTTCCAAGTTATGTTCTCTGAATATCCAAAGGCAGACCAACGGAACAAAAGCACTTACAACGAAACCAGTATCAATCATAAAATTTGTAAACCAAACAAAATAACGGTTCCTCTTACCTTCCGGCAACTGATTGGCAAATTCTGATGCAATAACAGAAGCAGTAGGATATTCAGCACCAATCCCAATCCCTAAGAAAAAACGGAAAACAGTAAGTGCAGTGAATAATGAAGTAGGATCCCCATTTCTCTCCCAAGTTCCAACCGTACATAACAATGTAAAAAAAATTAACATGATGTTAGCACTGAGCATACCTCCTTTTCTGGCAATGTTATCAGAAATATACCCGAAAACCAACTGCCCTACAACAGTACCTGCAAAAGCAATCGAAGAAACATTCGATATGGCATTAGATTTGGAATATGCATCTCCATAAATCGATTTCAAGCAGGTTGAAACAGTTCCAATCGAATTATTAACGTAACCATCAGAAAATAATCCTGCTCCAGAGCAAAAAGCAGGCCAGAGGGTTTTCATCTGCACCTTATCTTTTTTCTTATCAGTTTCCTCAGACTTGGATGAAAGCTCGATATCGGGTCCACGTCTTCTACGAAGTGTCACTTCATCTTTGAGATGTCTTCTCCAGCTAAACGCTAGCTCATTAAATGATTTTGGTAAATCTCTTGATGACATCCTATATTTGTTCTATTTTTTAGATTGACTAAAACCGAGACTTAAACAATAGAAGAATTTAGCACTATTTATTTACAAGATATTATAGTCTTAAAATATGTACATAAACAAAATTTAAGTTCAACTTAGGTAGCCTGCAACGTGTGATGAAAATTTTTCAAATGATTATGGTAAGTAACGGATTTAAATGAAGTACGAACGTGGTTGAAGTATGTCAATATCTTATTTGTTGAGACCAATAGAATTGCATGTGCTTCTAATCACACGCAAGCCGCATATCATATACGAAATTCCACCTTGTTATAAGTCTAAATTTGGGCTTTTGACTATTTGGCACCTGGGCTACACGCATTCACGATGAACAAATGTTCACAATAGCTGATTGTTCTAATAAGAGTAAAATTTTCCATGATGGCTTCCCTGTATTCAAAGACTTCAAACCTACATAAAAATATTAAGTTTCCGAGTGCATAAATAAGAAAAAGTATGCGAAATCACATCAATTAGGGTAATTTGTAGATCTAATTAAATATGGAGCTAAAAGCATAATTAAAATGCTACTACACAACATACGAATCAGTAAGACGTGTATGGAGTTATAAAGTCATAAACGTAGAGGCTGATTAAAATTGTAACTTTTGTAAGGAATGGTCTTATCCGGTACAGGCAAACAAAATGCGGATCACCACATGTGCGGCATCGCTCATCTCCATTCAACTGACCATTTTAATTCTTCACCAGCTTTGAAAGGGACAACAGTAATATCCTTGTTACCAAACATTTCGGGCACATTGTTGGAGTTCTGTAACAAGTAGCATTTATCTTTGCATTTAACATCTTGGTCACTAATTCCATAAAAGCCTTTACCGTTGTCATTCACAAACTTCTTCAAGTTGGCTAATCTATTCTGACTTTCGAAGACCTCTGCCAAATAAGCAATAGCATGTGATTGGGTGTAGACACCGGCACATACGCCCGTATGTTTTGCCTTTGCGGATAAAGGATGAGGAGCAGAATCAGACCCAAAGAAGAAGTATGGTTTAGCAGACGTAGCAGCCTCCACTAAGGCACGCTTATCAACTGGCAATTTAGCAACTGGCTTACAGAAGTTGATAGGATTTCCAGCCCAGTTGTCGATTGTAAGCGATAAATGATGAGCAGTGATGGTAGCAGCGACCTTGACATCATCACCATCTTTGTGACCAGCATTGATTTTTTCAATCATGTCGATTGCATCCTTTGTAGTACAATGCTCCAAGATGATCTTCAAGTTTGGGAAGTCGTTATGCAATTTTTCTAAGGCTGGTAAGAACTTTGGTTCGGCGTTCAACACATGGATATCCTCTTCGCCATCCTTCGATGGAGGCTTTTCACCATGCAAATTCAAAACAAGGTTATTCTCTTCCAATGCTTTGAAAATAGGATAGAAAGGTGTGAAGTCGTTAGGATCGACACCTGCAGCAGAATTAGTAGTAACGCCAGCTGGGTAGCACTTGACACCATGAATGGCCCCTATTTTGGCCGCCTCCAGTATCAATTCGGGGCTTAACTCCTTCGATAAATAAAATGACATCAAAAATGTGGTCTTTGGTGACAACTTTTCTAAGTTCTGCTTATATTCAACAACCCTATCGATAGTCGTAATTGGGGGAACCAAGTTCGGCATAACGTATGCTATCGATATACCCCCCTCTCTAACAGTAGGCGTAATTAACTCCATCATTTTTCCATCACGTAAATGGACGTGCATGTCAGCGGTGATACCTAATTCGATTTCTTGGGCCATCTTTATATGTTTTTAATCGTAAATCACTAAGTAAGAATCATCTTTTCGTTATCAATAAATTTTTCACTATGAAAAAAAAAAAAATCCCCCCCGGGTATTGCTTATGTAATCGAGTTTGCAGCCATATAGGGCCGAACCTATGTCTAGATGTCATCAACGTTAGTTGACTAACGGCAGTTTAACTATGTGATGTACGATTATTTTATCGTAAACAATTAGTGATGAATTGATTTTAAGTTTAATAGGCTTTATTTATCCCGAATTAGAAATACATCTCGTTGTCTCACCAAAAATGTAAGGCTAAATCCCCAAAAGAGACTTGACAATACGTTGGATATGGGACAACAAAATAATAAATGTTAGATACTACTTAACTACTACTATATAATATATTAACATATTGTAGACCCTTGAAAGGTATAAGGATAAGCGACAAGTAAAACACCTGAAAAACCATTGCAACAAGTCTAAAAGGAATCGCACCGATGAGCTTCAGGTTGAGATGACAATCATAATATGAAAAAGGACATATATAAGTGAACAGCATAATCTCTAATTTTTCAACTGTTCATCAATAATTTATATTGATTCAGACTACAAATATGGCAGCTCAAAATACTAATTCTACAGAGCAAACTCAAGACGAAACAAAAGATAACTATTCGTGGAGAACGAGAAGTGGTGGAGTTCCACGCTTCTGTGTGATCGTTTGAACAATTGATAATGAGGTAATGCGCTATGAATTTCTTATATTGGATTTATATGTTTCGTAGTTCCAATGTATTAATATATAATTTAATTTTTACCTTGTTGTAGTTTCTTTTCGTAGATATTTCTAGTGGAAAGAGTTCTATTTTCAATAAATACTGCAGAATCAACTATATCCTGTAGAAATCCAGATATTATTTCTCGAATGCGTTCTGTGAGCCGTAAGAGACTATCAGGTGGGAATATCTCCTCGTCACATTCTTTTTGTTTTGGGGGGTAAAGCCAAAGGGAAACAATTGAATACGCTGGCATACGTTTATACGAAACAGCACATACGGGCACTAAATTTTGTTAGTTCACCATTTTTAGAGAGTTCGAAATAAAATACATACACTGGATATCCTGGGGGTTGTACAACGAATTATCCATGATAGTAATGGATAATTCTTTAAACATGGGGTATTCATATTCAAATGGAACACAAAATTCAACTGTTCCGCTGTCTATTAAGTTTTCCGATTGTCTTCGTGGGGTGGTTCCAACTTTGGAAATATGGATTTTACGAGGGGCCTCTTGCATAATCCTCTTGCACACTTTTAGAGAAACTTTCCAATCAGATTTAGTCTCAATGATCCTATCCATATACATCTCTTTATTGTTACCCCCGTTTATCCTTTCCAACCATACAACCCAATCAAAATAGAACGCATAGTCGACAACGTTCTTCCTTATATTATTTAGTTGAAACATAAACGCAGCACATTGGTTGTGGTCTATTAGCCCTAATCGTGAACAAGGAACTCCATTCAAATTAATATACTTATTGTTATTCAGGGCCTGAGAAATGGACTTAACCTTTTCAAATACTCCACAGTTATCCTGGTCGGAAACTTCTTGGTTTTCTTGAGCAGGACATAGTTTCAAGAAATGGTTAATATTGTCACGAATCTTGAGTGGAGTGACTGATTTGCCCAAAGAACCTTGCGATTTGCATCTTGCAACAAACTTTAACTGTGGGATCTCATTATCCATGTTGATTTGTTCTTCAGAACTACCCTCCTCCTGCTCGTCATGGGCGCTCCCTGGTTTCAATAATCCTAAAATACTCAGTTTTCTCTTTACTTTATTCAAAGATGCCTGATTAGTATAATTCTTCAATTCTTCTATATCATTATGAACATTTTTTGTATCGATCCAACTTGTATCAATGCCTGTGTCTGGTATAGGGCTGCTCTGATCGATTGGATTGATATCTTCTAGATCTGTAATCTGCATATCTTCATTATTACAGGATAATATTTCTATTCCACTATCATGGTTACCCTTAGAGAACCAACTGCGTCTTCTTTTTAACTGAATTGGACCTTCCATTGCTAAGTTGCTTTAATTAATGTTGTTTGTGGATGGATGCAAACTCTTTCAAAAAAAAATGTTCCGTTCCGCGCAATCGACAGATGAGGACTTAATTCAACATTTACTTTTACCATTATAAGCTTCGGATCATAATACAAATATAATAGATAACATGGGGTCAGTCTTTCTCCCACATTTGCATTCCGGGTGGCACGTTGACCAGGCTATATTATCTGAGGATGAAAGATTGGTGATAGTAAGATTTGGTAGAGATTATGAAAAAGACTGTATGATAACTGATGAGGTCTTATTTGGAATTGCAGAAAAGGTTAAGAATTTTGCCACAATATACTTATGTGATATCGATGAAGTTCCAGATTTCAATTCGATGTATGAGTTATACGATCCGTGTACAATAATGTTTTTTTATAGAAATAAACATATGATGTGTGATTTTGGTACAGGGAATAATAATAAGCTAAATTTTTTAGTGCCCGATAAGCAAGAAATGATTGACATAATAGAGACGATATATAGGGGAGCGAGAAAGGGTAAAGGTTTGGTGATAAGTCCGAAAGATTACAGTTCGAGTCGTAGGCCATAATAATCCAAATTAGAAATGTATAAAATAGTATATAATAATTCGAAAATATGAAGATTGTATAATCTTACTCTTGAGTATCATTTTGTGCGTAGAAGAAATTGACCCCTAATAACTTCAGTTCAGGACCATTCTTCTTTATCCAATCTCTGACACCTGAACTTGGAGTACCCGTGCCCCAGTTAGGTCTATCTTTTGGTGTGTCAAACTTAGATACCGATGGATCCTGCCTAAATAATAAAAATACATAACGATGCTTACCGGTCTTAGGTGGTGGTGCTGGACCTTGGTAAGACAAGAGTTCTTTACCCTTGGAAAAATCCAAAACAGTAGTCAAGGATTCTGCGGATTCAACGTCGTTACTATTAGCATTCAATGGTAAATCGGTAACAATCCAATGGGCATATTCCGACCACTTATGGTCCTTATTAGATGGTGCATCTGGATCGGTCAAAACTAAGGTGAATTTATCATTATTCGAGATTTCAAAGTCATTCTCTTGGCCTGGAGAGTTAAGGGTAAACTGAATAACAGGGTGGTGCTGAGTATTCTCCACTTTTAAGGTATTTCCTAACGCAACATGGTCTTGTTCATTGTACTCAATTGTCAACAAACCTTGAATATCAAACTTATCAATCACATCAGGAATGATCTTATGCTTGGTATATGATTCATCCAAGGATTGGGAAATTGTCATCAAATTCATTGCTTGTTTATAGTTATTATAAATTGGTATTCTATTTCTGGTCAATAAAGAATTTGTTCGAGGTATAATCCGAGTAGAGTTTTTAATTATACTCCTTGAGGCAGCAAACATTCTTTTAAATATATTTGAAGATTATTATTATTAACTTATATAGCCTTGGTTTATAAAGAAACAATGTGAATCATTGCTTTTCTAGAGCAAATATAGTATAAAAAAATTATCCCTCGTTCTGGGGTAGCCGAACGAAATCCGATTTACTCCGATCCGAATTCATAAGTTCATTACATTATTACTAAGATTACATATATATTTTATAAGATACAATCATAAATATACGTCGTTTTCAATACATAATACAAGGGAAAACACTGATAAGTCGCTTTAGAATTAAATACATTTAGTTAATTGTTAGATATTTTGTACTTGGTGTAGATATCATTCGTAAACTTGGAAGTTGAAATTCTGAAATTCATTTCGGTTGCTGATTTGGGGTGGTTGTGTAGTTCCCTCTGGGAACTGGGGCATCTCAGAATAATTTTGTTCCAGTTTTATTTGCTGTGGTGGTAACTGCGGCTCGGATTGTTCTGCTTGTGATTGATCTGGTTGTTGTGGTTGTTGCTGGTGTTGCTGATGCTGTGGTGGTTGTGGTGGTTGATGTTGTTGTTGATGATGTTGTTGATGTTGATGTTGTTGTTGTTGCTGCTGCTGCTGCAACATTTGCTGTTGGAGCATTTGTTGGTGGAGAATCTGCGGATCATTTATTTGCCTGTCATCGTTCTTTATGTCCTGATCTTCGTTGATATTCCCAGGAATCTGAGAAATATTCTTAGGCTGACTTGTGGGTATTTGCTGCTGGCTTGCGTTAGACAATGCTGGATTCGAATTTGGAGGTATATTAGCGTAGCTTCCAGATCTGGACAGGGATGAGTATGACTTTTTAGGCTTTTCTTCGTCTCTTGGAACAATATCAATCAAGAAATCAAACATATCACTCTTCGTTAAAGCAGCAGCTATATCCGACTTCTGTAATGTTCTTCTCTTGTTTTCTTCGGCATGAATCCATGCTCTCATAGTTAATTCAGTTATAAATACATCACATCCCTTGGCGAACAAAATTGGGGCTTCTGCACTTATCATACGAACGTCTTCGTCTGTTTTCATCACTTTCTTGATTCTAGCTAACGGTAACTGGTGATTTTTAAAATCGTGTTCATCGTGTTCGATCGAATTAATAGTTTCCTGCCAATATTGCATCATCATATCTCTATAAACTCCCGTTAAACCCTGTCCAACATTATTGAATGCACCACCTGGTTGCTGCAGTTGGGCTGCCGCTGCTGCCTCGGCTGCCGCTTGCGCTGCCAACAACTCTTCTTCATCTACTATATTCTGGGTAGCTGCTGGATGAGATGGTATTTGCTCTTCTTGTTCCTGTTCCTCTTGCTCTTGGTGTTGTAAACTGGTTATCTCCGATCCGTCCAAATAGGTTTCTTCGTATCTATCCATTATTTCGTATTAATGTGTTGAATTTGATGTGTTAAAGTTAGAATTTAAATTAAGTCTGTCGAATTTTTCAATCGTCCCACGTTGTAACTTCTTTACAAATAATCAGTCTTCAATAATAACTAATGAACTCTAATATAAAAAAAATACCGAGATCGCCTATGTTTCCAATTCTATTGATATTTTATGCTTTAAGCTTGCTTTATGGAAATCTATAAAACGTTGACTCAAACTGTTTACTTAAAATAAAATTTGACTATTAAAAATGCGAAACCGGATTATGATTGTGAATGAATGCAAAATGTACACTATACGAATTGATACAACTAATTTTTTTTACATCTACTCTGATCATTGAATAGCCTACTACAAGCTAGACTGCTTCATTTAGAGAGGTATGATCGACACCATACCGATTATCTTTCAAGATAAGTAGTTCATAATGTTTGAAACCAAAAAAATTTAAATGCGCAAACCCGGAATCGAACCGGGGGCCCAACGATGGCAACGTTGGATTTTACCACTAAACCATTTGCGCTTGTTTGTTGCAAGGTTTTTCAGGGTATAGGAAATCATGTACCACAATATCATCCTTTAACGTAGATTCTTCACTTAATTTATTTTTTCATTAAACATATTTCTTGTCATTAACAAACTTCAAATAAGATTTAGGTATCGTAGTTGAGTTCTTTGACAAGTTTATTAATTAATTGTCTTTATTTATCCTCTTTCTAGTTAATATATTATATCTTTTTTAATATTATTGAATCATTGCAAAAATCGAATAATTGATAAAATTACAAGAATATTTCTAGTGTCTGCAATAAATAAATGTTTTAACTAAATACTATCAAGTCTATCTATATTAAATCAAATCATCCAACTAGATAAAAGCCTGAGATGTTTGAATTTTGACGAAGAACCGTCCATTCCTAAAGCTAAATCTTTCAAATACCAGAAAATTCCAATTATAAGAAGATAGCTGATTCCATATAATAGATACGAGATGTACTTATGGGTATGACGGTGAATTATGGATTCCATCATGTATCCACTTATGAAGATAGCAAAATATAATGCTGGTACATAATGATGCAAATAGGTGACTCTTCCCATTAAAATGAATGGAACGTAATGCAAAACCCATCCGGCAAATGGCGTAACGCCTTGAATGATCAAAGCTTCCCATTCTAAATCAAAAACACCCTTAGGAAAGTGAATTTTCTGTCTCTGCCACCTCCATAATTTAATAACCATATATACAACAAATAAGATTAAATTCAAGGTGCTGAACCATGTGATAAAGGGATGTCCAATTAAGAAGTACTTAACTTCATTTGAAGTCCATCCACACATTCTCAACCCGGACTTTAATATTGGCCATTCCCACCATTCTGAAGATAATCTATCAAACTTATCGGAATCTGGAACTAGCGCATTGTTTGAGGCCATCATTCCGTAATTTAACAAAATGAATTCCTTCCAAAACTTAGGTGGAGGGGGTACGTAGAGGCTTTCTGGGACCGGTAATTTGTCATTAATATGATCTTCAATATTCCACCAAGTGCTCTTTTCTGTCAGGAAAAGAGATGTTTTACAAACAACTTCACCTTGTTGGAATCCCCATGGTGGATATGAGAAGCCAGTCGTTGCCAAATAGCAACCCAAAACCTTGTGTCTTAATCTAAAATTAGTTGAAATAGGGTGTAATTCTTTTGGATCTTCGTTTTGAAAATCTTCAGAAGGCGACACTTCTTGCGATTGAAGTTCAACAACCCATTCATCTTTGAAGTCACTTTCATCTAGGTTTGCATAACATGAGACTTCATAATGCGACGACAGGATAGAAGACATAATCTGATGAGAATGCAATAGGCATCCTGAGTTTTTATGAACTAATCTTATAACATCACCATCATTGATTATCTTATCCAAAGGGTATGATTCGTTGCCTTCATGTTCATAAGTTGCAAATTCACCTCGCAAACCAGCTTCCAAATCAAATTCCACAAGAAACTCATTATTTTCATCTTTAAACCCATAAGTAGTGATTTGCTGTTGATGAGATCCTTCAGGATATACATGCGGATGTGAGTGGAGTAAATTCGGCGATAACCCTTGAGACCTTAACGTGATTAAAGATCCATATGCAACAGACCTAGGTCCATTCTGAAGAGTATTACCTTCTAACGAACCCTGAAATAAAGTGGAAATTGACCCGTCTCCGGTTCCTGATTTTTTTAAAACAGCAAAGTGAACCTTGAAACAAGCCAAGTAAATAACAAAGGGTACGAAGATCAACGTGGCAATTCTTGAAACCCAATGAGTGAAATAACTCTTAAGTGAAATTGGGAACCTTGAGCTTGTCAATTGATAAGTTTTAATCAACAAATCGTAAATAACATATAATCCAATTAAAACCGTAACAAACAAACCAACCCATTTCACAGAACAAACGCATCCAATAGAAATACCAGTTGTCAATAACCAAGTTAATCCTTTTCTCGTCAATAATTCATTCTTAGTTCTTAAATTGTGTACGTTAACTAAGCAATAGAAACATAAAACAGTAAAGAATAAGAGCATGGAATCCAACAAAATGAATTTGGATAATGTCAAAGAAATCATTTCGAAAATAACCAGCAACGAGATAAACCACACAGTTAATTGACTATAACCCAATGCCACTGCTGTTTTATAAGCAATAGGGGTACATAATATACCAAATGCACAATTAAAACATCTCATCAATACATAATTACAATTATCTGGGAATGCATCACTACTTTCAAAATCGAATCCACCAGCGTAATCCGCTAAGTATCCAGATAACCCTACTAATAATTTTCCTAATGGAGGATGGACATCAAAATAAAACTCTCTTTTCAAATAGTACGATCCAAACTTCCCAAAATGGGCCTCGTCCCATACCACATTATTTGCTGCTTCGATCCTATATAACCGGACAAATGCCGAAAGTGCTGTTAATAAAAGTGGATTCACCAAATTTATAAATATATCCGATAAGTCCTTTGAATTGGCCTCGTTTTGATTCAATTTCAAGCTGGATGTTTTACTGATTATGTCTTCCAATTCGCTATCATTTAGATTATTCTCCCCAGTATCACTATCACGACGTCTTCTGGATATATGCGAATAGTCAGTACCTCTAGAAGAGCCTGTAGCATACATATCTGATCCGCTAGCCATCTTATTCTGCTCATATAATAGCTGGACAAATATTACTATGAACCGTGCTGTCAAAATGGCCTAAGCTCTCACCGTGCCTCACGCGTTCAAAATATTTTACTTAGTCTTATAAATAATTGAATTACGTATCGAAAAGCTATTGCACGCTGGTTATTCCTTTCATTTCGGCACTATGACATTAGTCGGTTCGTTCAAACAGTGGGCTGGGAATTGAGAGATTTCAAGTTTATAGTAGGCTTAGTAATTCGCTTCTGACTTTTTATAAGTAAGAACAGATATGATTTTAGCGCTGATCCAGGTTACGAAGAGCATTAGTCAGAATGCCATATATTAGTCAAATATAATGAAATGGAATATGTAAGACTATGTAATCACCATGAAAATTCTATTTGCCGCCGATGATGGTCCATGTTTAGAGGTGCGGAAATAAAACGGGAATAACACCCATTTCCGCATTAGGGTAGCATTTCCATTCCCATATCTGTATCATCATATATAAGATGGATTAGGCCCCTACTTTGGTAATTTTTGCAGAAATTTGAATATTCAAGAATGGAGAGTCCTACTATTAGCTCATCATACAAGACTATGGAGGACAATCATAAGGATCCAGAGTATTCTGAGGATATGTCAAGTAGACAAGAAAGGTTAGGAAATTCTACTCCGCAGCCGTACGCAGAGAAGCCTAGGGATGAGGAAGGACAATTATATTCAGATTCTGAAGGAGAAATACGTGATTTCAGAGGTCAAGATAATCGCAGTATCTATAGTACACCTAACAGTACAAACAGTAAACACCTATCAATTTTGGAGAGAGTGCAATCACAATATTCGTTCTTCCATGAGAAATTGGGAAAACAAAGAAAGGGTATCGTTATAAAATATTTATTGATTTATCTTTTGATGAGTACAATGATATTGGGGATATTTTCGATATATTGGGGATCGTTTTACCAAAGAAACTCGAGACTCAAGAATTTGAATATGTTGGTGGTAATTGAAGATGACCATACTGTGGATGGAATTGAACCCATCATTGGAAATACCATTAGAGAGATATTAGATACCGATGCTGCCAAAGCATATGGTAATTGGCACATTTTCAATCAATCGGAAATCCGGAAACAAGCAGATAAGAACAACAATGATGTTGACGCCGAGGTACAAAAACTTATACACCACGAACAGTATTGGTCATCTATATATGTGAAACCTGAAGCATCATATAATTTGTACAAAGCGATTTCTGACGGTGATGCATCCTATAACGTTACAAACAATACCGTTTTGTCATACTACGAAACAGGCAGGGACTTTCTCAGTATGAATCTGTATGTTACCCCAAGTATCAAGATCATTGAACAAATGTGGTTGAAGAAACAGGCCAATGTGACTTTGTCGTTAACCAACAAGTTATCGTCATCTGAAAGATCGGACGTCTTGAGTGATACTAACTCGCTCGAACTTTTATCCACACCAATTAGCTTCACATATATCGATAAAATCCCCTACACAGATCCTGTTTTAACAGCGCCATCTCAGGTTGGGTTGATTTATATGATCATTATCACATTCTTCCAGGTTAACTTTTTCATGGATGTACACAAGGGTGTTGCCTCGTTAAAAATCAAACCCATCCATTTCGTTGCCTACAGAATACTATCTTCTGTTCTTTCGTTCTTTGTCATAAGTTTATTTTTCTGCTTCGTCTCCCTAGCATTTCAGGTTGATTTCACTAAGGCCTTTGGGAAATCCGGGTTCTTGGTATACTGGATGGTTACATTCCTTACAATGTGGGCAGTTGGTTTAGTCAACGAAGTCATGGCCCTTATCTGTATTATGGTATATCCTCCATTAATGGGATTTTGGATGTTGTTTTGGGTTATTATAAATATTTCTCCAACGTTTGCACCAATTGCATTATGTCCGGAATTTTACAGATTTGGGTATGCATTACCTATTCACAATTCCTACGAGATTACGAAAGTCATTCTATTCGATACATATAAAGGTAATTTAGGAAGAAGCTTTGGAATTATCATTGTTTGGGTGGTTATCTTTACATTAATACTTCCACTCGTTCTCAATTTATTCCAGAAGACAATGGCTAAGAAAGCCCAGGCAGCTGCTCAGGCAGCTCAGAAGAGTGCAGACAATTAAGTAGAACTCATATGTACATATTTTTATTCAATGTATTTATTTTGAACCGCGCACTTCTTGTTTACATTTATTGATGAATTGAATTACAGATCAAACACATAGGTGATTGCTATATAGATTATTTCTTATAAACCACGTTAAGATATTGATACCCTAAGAGATAATGTCTCTGAAACAAAAACCGCCTTCTTCAAAGGAGGACCTTCGGGGACAGTTTTCAGATATTCAGAAAA